GCCACATAATGAGAAGACAGGAAAGCTTAGAGAAGACTGATGCTGGGCAAAATGGAAGGAAAAAGGAAGAGGGGCCAACCAAGGGCAAGAGGGGTGGATGGGATCCTTGAAGTGACTGGCTTGACTGTGACTGGCTTGAAGTGACTGGCTTGAAGGAGCTGGGGTGGTGACGGCTGATGGAGAGCTCTGGCGTGGGCTGGTCCAGGAGGTCATGAAGAGTCAGAAGCGACTGAATGAATAAGCAACAACAACAAGGGGCGGGGGGCTGGGCGAAACAAAGCCCCAAACACACAATAGTTGAGGCATGGAGGACCTTTGGAAGACATTGAGGAAGCCCTGGGAGTGTGCTGCTTTCCTCTTGAATCTCTCCAGATTTCATCTGTTTGTGACACCCAGGGTCTAAGTTGTGGTATCCATACTTTAGGAAGTCCATACTTTAGGAAATAAAGCCAGACTGCTCACTGGAGGGAAGGATAGTAGAGGCCAAGATGAAGTACTTTGGCTGCATAATGAGGAGACAATGATGCTTGGGAAAATGGAAGGAAAAAGGAAGAGGGGCCGACCAAGGGCAAGATGGATGGATGGCATCCTTGAAGTCACTGGATTGACCTTGAAGGAGCTGGGGGTGGTAACGGCCAACAGGGAGCTCTGGCGTGGGCTGGTCCATGAAGTCATTAAGAGTCGGAAACAACTGAACGAATGAACAACAAGGAAATCAGGGGAAAGGAGTCTGGAGGGAAGGAAGACTTGATAGATTTAGCCTGACTTGGATGACAACCCACTTGCCTCAATGCATTGAGCCCAAAGGCGACCCTAATGGAGAGTTTATTGGGTTTCTGTGACTTTTCTGGACTGTATGACTACGCTCCAGAAGCATTCTCTCCTGACATTTCACCCACATCGATGACAGGCATCCACAGAGATTGTGAGGTCTGTTGGAAACAAGGCAAGTGGGGTTTATATACCTGTGGAATAATGTCCAGGGTGGAAGAAATATGCTGTCTTGTCTGTTGGAGGCAAGTGGGAATGTTCCAATTGGCCACCTTGATTAGCACTGAATTTATCTTTTTTTTGTCATGTCAGGAGCGACTTGAGAAACTGCAAGTCGCTTCTGGTGTGAGAGAATTGGCCGTCTGCAAGGACGTTGCCCAGGGGACGCCGGATGATTTGATGTTTTTATCATCCTTGTGGGAGGCTTCTCTCATGTCCCTGCATGAGACCTGGCTGTTTGAGCAGGTGTTCGAATAATTAGTGCAATGATTGGTTAATGAACACTGGAATGGAACAATGGATGACGAATCTGGAACATGTTTTTGATGACGAGACGACAGTGAACGGGTATTGTAGTAACTGTTTATTAATTGTGTAATGTGTTAGGTTGTTAACTGTTTTTATACTGTAGCACTGAATTTTTGCTGTTCGTATTTGTTGTGAACCGCTGTGAGTCGCCTTCGGGCTGAGAACAGCGGTATATAAGTAAGGTAAATAAATAAATAGATAAATAAATGAGGAGCTGGAGCTGACAGAGGGAGCTCATCCGCGCTCTCCCCAGATTCGAACCTGCGACCTGTCGGTCTTCAGTCCTGCCGGCACAGGGGTTTAACCCACTGCGCCACCGGGGGCAGCATTGAATGGCCTTGCAGCTTCAAAGCCTGGCAGCTTCCTCCCTGGGGAATCCTTTGTTGGGAAGTGTTAGCTGGCCCTGGTTGTTTCCTGTCAGGATTTCCTGTTTTCTAAGTGTTGTCCTTTATTTATTTTATTTTTTTATTTTTATTTATTTATTATTTAAACTTATATGCCGCCACTCCCCTGGGGCTCGGAGTGGCTTACAAGAATAGCTAAAATCTAACAAAGTTTAAAAGCAATTTAAAACAATTTAAAAACAACAGTATCAAACATTAAAAGCCTGTCGGAACAGGTATGTCTTACATGCCCTGCGGAAAGCTGTTAAGTCCCGCAAGGCACGGACTTCAGGTGGCAGAGTATTCCAGAGTGATGGTGCCACTGCTGTAAAGGCTCTGCGTCTGGTTGCTGTTAGACGCAAGGTCTTGACACTGGGAATTTCCAATAGATCTTGGTCCTCAGAACGGAGGGATCTCTGGGGTTGGTAGGGGGTGAGGCGGTCCCTCAGGTACATCGGCCCCAGACCATGCAAGGCCTTAAAGGTGAGCACCATCACTTTGAAAGTGATCCGGTGCTCAATGGGTAACCAATGCAGCTGTAGTAAGATTGGTGTTATGTGGCATCTCATCGGAATTCCCGCAAGAAGCCGAGCAGCTGCATTTTGTACCAACTTGAGCTTCCGGATCACCGACAGAGGAAGGCCAATGTAGAGGGCGTTACAGTAGTCCAGTCTTGAGATGACCGTGGCCTGGATCACTGTAGCTAGGTCGTCCCTGGACAGGTAGGGGGCCAGCCGTCTAGCCTGCCGCAGGTGAAAGAAGGCGGTTCTGCTAACGGCGGAGACCTGGGCCTCCATTGTCAGCAGAGGGTCCAAAAGGACTCCCAGACTCTTTACCAATGATGACGGGGCGCCTCGCCATCCAGGGTAGGCAGCTGGATGTCCCCACTGCCCGGTTGACCCAGCCATAGGATCTCCGTCTTTGCTGGATTCACCCTCAACCTGCTGGCACGCAGCCATCCAGTAACGGCCTCGAGGCACTGATGGAAACAATCGGGTACAGAGTCCGGTCGGCCTTCCATCCTCAACACCAGCTGAGTGTGATATCGAGCTGCTTTTAGCAGGGTCTCCTTGAGAGAGAGACCCGAGGACCGCGCCTAAAGGGCTCTGGGTCCCTTGGTGAGGCCAGCGAGAGCCAATCCAAAGAGTAAAAATATTATAAATAATAACGCCTCATCCAAGTGGAAGAAGTTTCTTTTCAGCAACCGAGGTTTATTTGCGATTCAGCTGAATGGCTGCGTTACAGGAATCATTCCACTGCAAAGCATGCAGCACAAGAATTTCCAGGCATTTTTATACAGTGTAGAACAAAGAAATCAGTTTGAAAATCCCGCCCGCCCCCCGTCAGCCGGCTTCGCCCTGATTGGCTGGCCCTGGAACAGCTGGGAGGAGGCTTGGCTGCATGCCCCGCCCCTTGACCAATCAGCGAGCGTTGCTGCCTCTAGGGGGCCAATCGGAGCCTCCCTAGCGCCTCTGAAGATGGTCCAATCAGAGGCCAGGAGGCGGGACGAAGTTTGACAGCTCAGGGGAAGCGGAGTGCCCAGGGGGCACTTGCCAGCTGTTTCCGAGCCTTTGTTCTTATCGGCGGGGTGGCAGACAGGAGAAACAAAGAGTTTCCTGGTCCGATGATTGGATTTGAGAGAAAATATGAAAAGGGGCTGTTGATGGCATTTGGATCTCAAAACTCTGTAAACAAGGGGCCCTGTAGACAAAGGAGCTCAACAAACACCAAAAATTGAGTTAATCAATCTTTCTACCGGAGCTTCTGTTGACCCATCTCTTATCTCATTGTCTGCTCTGAAAATGAGCCTCGAGACAGGATCAATCACGGGCCCATGCAGATGTAAATATGGACTGGTTTTCCTAGAGGACAAAGGATTTCCTCTTAGCAGTAACCTCAGGTCACATTCCTTTTGGGGCAAAAAAAGGGGTCAGAGAGGAAAGGCGGGGAGGGGAACCAAAGTGTGTTTCATTACATTACATACATTCCATATATCTTATACATTTCGTACTGCAAATCCCATTCCCATCCCCAGCGAAAGTTTATTAATAAAAATATCCAGTTGCTCTGTCATAGAAAGAAATTCACGGACTCCTGGCGAAGGCACACGGAAGTGGAGGCTGCTTGCGAACCGGAGCAAGCCTGAGCCGAAGGTTTATGTTCAAAATGCGGCAGAAAACAGTCCGGGATGTGGGGCAGAAAGTCAATAGGAGAGGGCAAACAAGAGAGTCCAAGGGAGGTTTCCTAGTTGTGGTCTGTTGGAGCAATGTCCTTTGGGAAACTACATTTCCCTGATCAGGGGTCAGGGTCCATGCCTGGCCAGTTTGACAATCAGCTGTCTCTGTCTGATAATAATACTTTAAACAAAACGATTATTCCCCGAGCGCAGGGGCCCAAAAATGAAGAAAGCAAGATAGCAGTTAGTCTGAGGCAGGAAAGATACAAAAGTATCAAGCGGAAAGATTAAATGTTGCAAGTTTCAAGTGCTTTATTAGGGGAATGTTACAACGTAGGGAGAAGGGAAAGCAAAGAAAGCAAGGAAAGGCTGAGTGCGGTCTTATTATTGAGCTGCCTGCTGGAACACATTTTCACCAGTTTCTTCCAATTGGGACAACCAGGAACTGCGGAACTCTCCGCTGCAGTGCAGGCCAATCGATGGCGAGGGCCCTCCGCCATCAAGTGTCATCCGCATACTGATAACACTCAAGCCCAAAACCTCGAACCAGCTGAGCAAGTGGTCGCATATAGATGTTAAACAACAGAGGGGAGAGAATGGCCCTCTGAGAAACCCCCATTTTTGTGTGTGATATAGCTATTTTTGTGTGTTGTTTTCCACGTTTTCCCCCATGGGAATGTTATCACTGAGGGAGAAGCCGCCATTTTGTGCCCTGGCGCCTGAGATGTCGTCACTTCCGGCTATGGGAAAACTGCACCGTGGCGAGAGGAGAAGGGGCGGGGCTGCGGGTCTCTTGCCGCAGTCGAACTCCCGCCCTTTTCTCTCCCGTCACTCCTCGCTTTAAACCCCCTCCGTTTAAGAGAAGAGGGGGCTCTAAGGCGCATGCGCGCTGCGCCAATGTGTCGCAGTGGTTGGTGGAGGGATACTGTGGATCCGAGAGGTGATTCGTCAATATTTTTTCAGTGTCTCTTTTCTGGTTGGAGATGTTGAGAGAATACGAGAGAGAACAGAGCGGGAAAGGCTCAGAGTAACGTCACGAAGGGAAACAAAGGGAAACAACACACCCATCCGCACTAGGAATAGGGACTACTTTTCCTTGGAAGAAGGTCCGCCCAGGCCTTGCATCCCTCCGCCTCTCAGCCGCCATTTTAGGAGACACCGCTTGGGCAAGCGAGGCGTGCAGTGAGTCAGTCAGACAGTCTTTCGGCCTCGAAGCAGAAGGAGCAGCGGAAGCCATGGCGGCCTCTGTGGGGAACGTCGCCGACAGCACAGGTACTCCTCGTCAAGGCCTGCCTGTTCCTTTCCTCCCGCTTGGGGCGAGGCCTACTCAGTCTCGGGCCTGTTTTCTAGGCCACGCCGAGGCTTGGGCCTAAAGGGGGAGAGGTCGGAAACAATTGTGTCTGGGTCTGTGTGTGCTGTTGCTCCTTATATTCCACTCTATTAATAATTGCTCGCTGAGGTTTCTCTCAGAAGGGATCTGCTGTTTTGAAAGGAGGCCGACCACGTGCTTTGTGGCCTCTGACCTTTGGAATAAATCCCTTTAAAATCCCTGTTTAAAAAATATAGCCTTGAGAGAACTCCTTTAAGAGGATTTAAAGTCGGAGGTCCTTTAGGCTGCCAGGATGTATTTGCTTTTTCAATAAATACATTATTATATATTATATACTAGCTGTCCCCTGCCACACGTTGCTGTGGCCCTGTCTAGTGATCTGGAAAATAAAGTAACGAGAAAGTGTTGGTTTCTAATCTATGTAATATCTTCATGCTTGTGGGTAAACAACATTTCTTGTTGTTTTTTTGTCAGTGTTGATGTGGAGAGTGTCTGGTTTGCCCACCCTGGAACATGCAACATATAATTGTCCTTCTTTAGGGGTCCCTTTCAGATCTTTGATACTGCATCTGTCATCTTATCTATCTATCTTTAAAGTAATGAGAAAGTGTTAGTTTCTAATTATGTAATGTCTTCATGCTTATGGGTAAACAACATTTCTTGCTGTTTCTTTCTCAGTGTTGATGTGGAGATTGTCTGGTTTGCCCACTTTGGAACAGGCAACATATAATTGTCCTTCTTTAGGGGTCCCTTTCAAATCTTTGATACTGCATATGTTATCTATCTTATCTTATATCTATCTTATCTTATATCTATCTTATCTTATATCTATCTTATCTTATATCTATCTTATCTTATATCTATCTTATCTTATATCTTATATATAAAATGCTCTGTGCATAATGGGTTCCTTAWAAACAAAAGAACCAATGAATGAAATCACACCAAATTTAGCAACAAAACGTCTCRCAACACARGGAGTGACCATCACTCAAAAAATTATGATTTTGTCATTTGAGAGTTGTAGTTGCTGGGATTTATAATTCACCTACAATCAAAGAGCATTCTGAATTCCATCAACAATGGAATTGAACCAAACTTGGTACGCAGAATTYCCATGACCAACAGAAAATACTGAAAGGGTTTGGTGRGCATTGGCCTTGGGTTTGGGAGTTGTAGTTCACCTACATCTAGAGAACACTGTGGACTCAAACAATGATGGATCTGGACCAAACTTGGCACAAATATTCCTTATGCCCAAATATGAACACAGATTGAGTTTGGGAGAAATAGACCTTGACATTTGGGAGTTGTAGTTACTGGGATTTATAATTCACCTACAATCAAAAAGCATTTTGATCCCCACAAATGACAGATTTGGGGCAATCTTCCCACACCGAAGCCCCATGACCAACAGAAAATACTTAAGGTCATCCAGTCCAACTCCCTTCACCAGGGCAAGAAAACATAATCAGAGCCCTCCTGACAAAGAGCCATTCAGCCATAGATAGATGTATATGATTCACACACACACAGATATAATATCCTAGATTTGAAAGAGAGCCCTAGAGAAGGACAATTATATGCTGCATGTTTCCGAGTAGGCAAACCAAACAATCTCCACATCAACATTGACAAAGAAACAACAAGAAATACTGTTTACCCACAAGCATAAAGGAATTACATATATTAAAAACCAGCACTTTCTCATTACTTTATTTTCCAGACCACCAGACTCGGCCACAGCAACGCGTGGCAGGGGACAGCTAGTATACACGTGTGTGTGTGTGTGTGTGAATGGCCGGATGGCCCTTTGTTAGGAGGGCTTTGATTGTTTTCTTGCCCTGGTGAAGGGAGTTGGACTGGGTGGCCTTAAGGCAGCATTTCTCAACCTGGGAAGTCAAGACATGGGGGGGGGGAGTCACCAGGGGGGTGTCAGAAGGGTCACAAAAAACCACCATAATACACAGTATTTTCTGTTGGTCATGAGGGTTTGTGTGGGAAGTTTGTCCCAATTCTGTCGTCGTTGGGGTTCAGAATGCTCCTTGATTGTAGGTAAACTATAAATCCCAGTAACTACAACTCCCAAATGTCAAGGTCTATTTCCCCCAAACTCCATCTGTGTTTATATTTGGGCATATGGAGTATTCGTGCCAAGTTTGGTCCAGATCCATCATTGTTTGAGTCAACAAAAACAAAGATGCACACTACATAAGCCAAAACTTGACAAATTAAGAAATTATAACATGCCACCATACCATTAAAAGTTCCCTGACTCTCAGGCCATTAAGGATAACATTAAAAAGACTTATCCTAGGGTCCCAAAAATTTGATTTCCTTTAGGCCATGTTAAAATATTGCTGGTCTGAAATAGCATTCCAAAAAATATACCATTACAGTAGAGTCTTGTTTATCCAACGTTCTGTATTATCTAACGCAGTCCATTGTTGGAGATATAAATAATCCTTGCTTGTTTTGATTCTAAATCTGTATATACTGTAATTACTACATAATATTACCGGGTATTGAACTGCCTTTTCAGTTGATTTGTTGTCAAACATGATGTATTGGTGCATAATTTGTAAAATCGTAACATAATCATAACGTAATTTGACATTTAATAGGCTTTTCCTTAAGACCTCCTTATTATCCAACATTTTCACTTATCCAACATTCTGCCAGCCCATTTTTGTTGGATAAGTGAGATTCTTCTATCCTTGTATCTATCTGGGCATTGCAATGTTGTTGAATTTCAGGAAAGGCCTGGTTCCATAGAGCGGTTTTAACTAAAACAAACATATTAAATTGATACCAAACCATCATTCAAAAGTAGAACAGTAATTATTCACTGTGTTCCAAACTTCTCTATACCATTCTTCCAGTTGAATTTCGCTTTTATCTTTACATTTTATTTGCTGTTATCACTCACTGCCGTTAATAGGTTGGAAATTAATTCCTTCACTTCTTGTGAAGATACAATACTATCCTACAATGATAATAAAGCTATTTCTGGTGTACCTTTTATTATACATTATATTTCACCTGGTTGAGAAATACAAGCAGGACATAATATTACTTAATATAATAATAATATTATTAATAATTCATAGGTGACGCCTGCTAGCAGGATCTGGTTACCAAATATGGCTTTTGGAAATGGAAGAGGTTCCACTTATTAATCTGTAATCTTTGCTACTACTAATAATAGTAATATAACAATAACGCTCCGTCCAGTCATGCCAGCCACATGACCTTTGAGGCACCTATGTACAATGCCAGCTCTTGTTTGGGTCTTCGGCTTAGAAATTGAAATGAGCATCACCCCCCAGCATCGGACATAACTAGACTTAATGTCAAGGGGAAACCTTTATCTTTACATTAATAATATTTTATTTATACGTCTCTTTCAATCTTGCGAGAGACTTAAAGTGAATAGAACTGTGCTACAAGCTGTACCATTTACAGTATAACTCAAGACTACAAACACTAAAATTGAATTAAACCAAGCAATTTGTAAAATAAATATTATGTGCATGTATTTATACCTTGCTTTTCTCTCTCTCAAAGGAGATTTGAAGCAGCTAACACGGAAAATAATACAAATGTGTAAACAGTAACCCTATGTAACACTTTTTGTCCCTGGGTTATAAATGTCATTTTGTAATTGGTTCTATCATAAAAGCATGGAAAAAGTTGATCAAAGTGCAAAAACTTGTTGCTGTGAGAGACGAACTGCAGTACAGTTTGCTCTAGTTTTTCAAGGAATACATGATAAAAGAGTCAAATCAATTGCAACATAGTTTGTCAGCCACAAAAACGAAGTTTGTGGAATAGAACAACAATTTTCAAAGTAAGTATTGCACAATTAAACAGGAAATAGTACATTTCAAACCAGGAACAGGAAAAAAAAACCAAATTATGTTACATAGTGTAATTGCATGTGTCCGAAAAAACTCAGTCACTTGCTGGCTCTGGGCACAAAAAAACTTTGTGTTCCCAGTCCGATTCCTGACCTGACTCAACAATGAAGGGAGGTGTTATGGGTTTTCTTCTTACAACTTCCCCACATTGCTAGCTTGGCCTTGTTTCCATCAACTGAGGTGGTTTTCACCTCTAAAAGGTGAGGGTATTTAGCAGTCTTGTCAGATCCAGCACTGATCTTTCTCTGGAGGGTTTGAAGCAGAGGCTGGGTGCCATCTGTTGGGCGGGCTTGGATGGTGTCTTCCTGCACAGCAGAAGGGAGTTGGGCTGGATGGCCTTTGGTGTTTCTTCCAAGTCTAGGATTCTGTCGTTCTATTATTATTACATCATGTACTGGAGCCCCCGGTGGCACAGTGGGTTAAACCCCTGTGCCAGCAGGACTGAAGACCGACAGGTCGCAGGTTCGAATCCGGGGAGAGGCGGATGAGCTCCCTCTATCAGCTCCAGCTCCTCATGCGGGGACATGAGAGAAGCCTCCCACAAGGATGATAAAAACATCAAATCATCCAGGCGTCCCCTGGGCAACGTCCTTGCAGACGGCCAATTCTCTCACACCAGGAGCAACTTGCAGTTTCTCAAGTCGCTCCTGACACGACAAAAAAACAAACATGTACTAAAATTTGAAAAAAAAATCTGTACTAGTTTGAAAGTATTCCTGTTTAATTATGCAGTACTTGCTTTGAAAGTAGTTTTTATACTCCAGAATCTTCCTTTTTGTGACTGTTGAATTGGTTTAGACTCAATGAGATTAATTGAAAAACTATAGCAAAATGTGCTGCAGGATGTCCATTCCACAAAATCAAAGTCTTCATTTTAGTAAACTTTCCCATGTTTCTCTGATAGAACCAGTTAGAAAATGACATTTACAACCTGCTTCATAGTGTTACTAAGTGGAGGCTGGATGGCCATCTGTCAGGGAGGGGTTGGCTGGTGTCTTCCTACCTGGCAGAAGAGAGTTGGACTGAATTTCCGTTGAGGTCTCTTCCATCTCTAGGATTTTATGATTTAGAGAAAAAAGAACCCTCTGCATCCTTATTCTGAAAGTCTTTTCTCAAGCACATTTATAAGCCTCCAAAGAGGGTTCCATCCCTCGGATATTATGGACCTAGGATCTATGCAGAATGTCAGAGGTTCACAGATAAAAGCAACTGGCCTCTAAATGATAGGTCAGAATGATTGGTCCAGTTAGTACTGGATGGTCATATCTCTGGCATCCTACCTGGGCAGTGTGAGTGCATGCTCTCACTTTCTTTTTGCTTGAAGCTAGGTGTTTATAATAATGTGCATAATAATTTGTTTTTACAAAGTGCTTGGTCTAATTCAGTTTTAGTGTTTACAGTCATTAGAAGTTATATTGTATATGGTACAGCTTTTAGCACTGTTCACCGCTTTGAGTCTTTGGCAAGAGAGAAAAAGAGGCATATAAATAAATTGAGATTATTATTATTTCTACAACAAGTTACAGTGGAACTTTTTGCAGATGAGTAAGTGCAATCTTCTGAATTGGGGGCACTGTCCTATAAATTGTCTCCGGGGACACTCAGTACAAGTAGATCTTTCTTATTTTATATAACATCTTCTGGAATGGGAGCATATTCAGAGAGGACACGAGGATGTGTAGGAATCCCTGTGGGAAGTGTTTTTCCGTTGATAGAAGCAGTTGACAGTCTTTCTTTCTCAAGAGGTTGTAGTTAATTTGGAGCAGAAAAGACTGTACTTACTGGAAAGATGCATACCTTCTTTGCACACATTGTGTTCTCTCAGAAAAAATGAGTTAAATCCTGTTTAGGTTTTATAGCAGGAAGAATACACAGCCCCTACTTGCAAATAGTTATACAGGGGAGCAGCTGTTTGCTGAGACTAGGAGTGTTGTTTACGCTTGGCCTCCTGATAGAGTGCAGGGTGGGTTCTGAGTCTCTCTAAGTGCAGGATGTGGGCCATAGATAAGTAGCTGAAAACTCACTCTGGCAGACGACATCTCATGATACCAGACCTGGGTCTTTTTTTCTAAAGGGGCCCATCTTGGGTTTGGTGCTTTTTTCCTAACATGAATCTATTCTGAATCTATTGAATTATCTGGGTGTTCTGAATCAACAGTGTCCTTTTTTATAGGGGCCTTCGCAGTTACTCTGGTGCTATGCTTTGCAATGCAGGTAGTCCCTGAGTTACAGACAAGATAGGTTCTGTAGGTTTGTTCTGAAGTTGAATTCCAATGTTCACCAGAACAGATACATGTTTTAAGTGTAACAGTTTTGGATAGCTCAGGGTAGGGTTAACATGCCTATGGTGTTTTGTTTTGCTGTCCGTGCCCCTGTTCAGAATATTTTGCCTCACTGTCTGTCCCTGTGATGATTGGATTTTGAAAAATGTGGCTTGTTCAGGAAAGAAGGATTGGTGAGAAACCATGATATCTCTTCCAGAAGTGAATTTCCTTTCCGATGAATACATTTCTCTATTACTTCCTGTTGTGTCAGCCCCCTGTTACTCAGATTTAAGTTGAATGTCTGTAACTTGGGGACTGCCTGTATACCTTTCATATACACTCATTGTGTCTCAAGGGAGCCTGTGTCCCCCCAAAGTAATCTCAGAAAAAAATTGGGAATATCTCAGTATACTTAGCTGTGGTTTTAAAACATGAAATGTGTTACAGTTGATATAGTTGCTTCAGATCAGGATAGGCAAGTGTTGGTGCCTCCAAGTGATGGTGGACTGTAGCTCACATCAGTCGGACACAGTAAAGCTGGGGATGGGAGGTGATGGACATTGGAGTTTAGTAGCAGCGCATGCAGGACACAGGTGGCACCTCAACTTCAAAGGAAACCAATGTGTAGTATCAAAAAAAGTTATCACCTGCTTTTGTTTTATAAAGGAAAAGAAGTTTAGTGTACCCTTTTCATGCTTCATTACAGAATATTGGTTACGTTTGCTCCCTTTGTTCAATAAAATTACTAACAGTAAATAAATAACCATTGTGTGGAAACAGAATAACAGAGAGCCCATTTTTAAATGTTTTTTTAAAAAAACATAACTGCACAGATTCCAAACATGCTAAAGCTGACCCAATTAGCTGTGAACCATTGGAGCACTTTTGTACCAAAAAGTCCATAAAACTAATGACATTGTTGTGGACTGAAATGTGCCCTGACTGTTCCAGTTACTGATATGTAACATATGAATGAATAGTTGTAACAGTGGCATTTGCAAAGACATTGGGGGGGGGGGGGCTTAAAAATAAGCTCAGTACCAACTCTGCGATTCCAGCAAGTTGGCAAAAACACAGCCCCTTGAGTTCTGTAAAAGCTTATTGTCAACACAGGTTTCTGTTTTTAAAACTAGATGGCACTATGCAGTTTAAAAGCTCAGAAATTTCATGTGTCGGCTTGATCCATGGGGCTTGTTTGGGAAACTTACAATACACCTCCAGCATGAAAGGAAAATTACAGAGAAGTAGAGGCTATGGAGACAAGTTTCCGTTTTGTAAATTTCCTTTGAGATTTTGCTCCTAGCAGCATATTTGCTCTTGCTTCCTTGGTTGTGATTGTTATACCCAAAGCTCTGTTGTTCTGAAGCTGAGCAATAGCAAGTTTCTTAACTGTGTGTAAAGGTGTCCAGGAATGGGTTATAGCCCTCCAGTTTATGCCATGTTGTGGAATAGAGGGCTAATATCCTGTACTCACAAACACAAATATGCGAGTATTGTGAAATTTAGGCAATCTTTTAAATTTTTCATCACCCTTTACAATCTGATACATTTTAAATACAATGCTTTTTCTCCAAGACAGTCTCCCCATCACTGCTGATTAAGACTTGGGATAAAAGTAGTTCCAGTCCAAAACGCTTGGAGGAAAAACAACTGTGAGGGAGATTAGCCTGAGAGATGCTTAATTAGCCCAAGATCACTCATTGAGCTTCATGGCTGAGTAGACATTTCAACCATAATGTCCTGATTTTTTACTATTGCGTTCCTAACCCTTATAGCATTTTGACTTTACTGCCTCTTGTTTGCAACTAACCTCTCAATTGATTGTTTCTGTTCTTAAGAATAACACTGCTTTCTCTCCATCTTTGGGTCTCTGCTCTTCTCCTTGCTCTGCAAGCAAGGTGTCCTTTTGTCTGTCTCTTTGTGTTGGCTTTCAGCTGCTGCTTCTATTACATCACCTTTCTTTGAGGTTAATCCATCATGGTATTATGAGTGGGCAGCAGGCCTGGCTAAGGGACTCCCATTAAGCATCACATCGGGAGGAAATGCATAGACTATGGGCTATAAGTGATTGAGGAAGGGCCTTGGCAATGGGTAGTTGATCAGTCAGTGAGTTGATCAGTCAGTGAGGCTTTGGTCATGTTTTGTGAGGGGGAACCTTGATTCATTTTACAAGAAGATTTTACTGGAGGCAGAAGCTGTATGATTCGAGCTGTCACTTCTGCTAAATAGAAGCATGAAAAGATCTAGAAGATACTGTGTTCATTTGATAGGTACATTTTATGTTGTGTCTTTCATTGCATGAAACATTTTTAATTTTTTCATTGTTTTAACTACTTTGAGAAAAACAAAGTTGTGGCACAGTGGAGTTTTAACTATCTTCAGGGGAAAAAAACCCAGTTGTGAAATAGACCAAGCCTTGTATTATGTTACATTCTTTGGGAAATAGCAGTTATCATTAAAGAGAGGATGGCTATGGAAATTTCCGAGAGAGATATGCAGGTCTTATTTTTCAAGTGTTTTGTGGCATAGGAAAAATTGAGTTGGATGTGGAAAGAAGAATGGGCGTAGGGAGCAGCTCAAGGGCTTTGAAGCCTAGTTCATTATTAAGCCAGAGAACCTGTTATTTTCATGGAGAAGGTCTGTTTCTGTTTAAGCATGCAGTATCCCTGGGTTTTTACATTATATCAAGCACTTCACCTTTTAATTTGTGCACCATAGCTTGCCAGTTTTTGTTCCCATTTTCTAATTTTTTGTTTCTCCTCCCCGAATGTTTTGGTGACTCTTCAGAACCAACGAAACGTATGCTTTCCTTCCAAGGGCTAGCGGAGTTGGCTCACCGGGAGTATCAAGCAGGAGACTTCGAAGCTGCAGAAAGGCACTGCATGCAGCTGTGGCGACAAGAGCCCGACAACACAGGCGTGCTCTTGTTGCTCTCGTCCATCCACTTCCAGTGTCGCAGACTGGACAGGTAGGCTGAGAGATGCTGCGTCTTTACGCAGATGTCATGATATGGTTTTAATAGTTGTCTGGTTCTGTGAGGGTCCATGTGTTGCTTGCATTTAATTGAATAAGCCAAAAAAGTTGATAATCCTTTCTCTTATTTAATTTATCTTGGGTGAATTCAAGAATAATTGCCTTTGTTGTAGAAGTGTTGTGTTTACTCATTCCTTTGACAAATGAGCAACATGGTCTAATGACTGAGAATGCAAAATAGTAAATAATATCATCTCAGAATACTGGTTTTCAAAATTTAGAGACAGACTGAGAGGGGAAAAGTTTATTTCAAACTTTTCCATTGCCTGAATTTTGCTTTTGAGAATTCTGTCAATCAGATAGGATGCTGCTGTTCAATATATTTTACAAGAGACACTTCAAAGAATCCTCCCTCTTTGTCCTTTGCTTCCAAGGTCTGCTCACTTCAGCACTTTGGCAATCAAGCAGAATCCCTTGCTGGCAGAAGCCTACTCCAACCTGGGGAACGTGTACAAGGAACGTGGACAACTGCAGGAAGCCATTGAACACTATCGGCACGCCCTGCGCCTCAAGCCAGACTTCATTGACGGATACATCAACCTTGCTGCTGCTTTGGTAGCTGCAGGTGATATGGAAGGAGCGGTGCAGGCATATGTTTCTGCCCTGCAGTACAACCCTGTAAGTTGAATTCTGCCTGGAAGATGGCACATTTCTTTGAAAAGCATGAGCAAAAAGAGTGTTTGACTTTCCAAACTGTTGACATGAAGTTTCAATAGCTTTATCATCAATTCTCATTGTGCAGCTGTAGTTATTCTGCAGTTAAGATGATCTTACGTCAAAACAAGGTCTGCCCACCATTCTATCCTATTATTTAGTTGGATTTGATAATGTACATGCATCCTGGTAGTTTGTAAGGCTATTTTAAAAATGTGCACAGATAGGTGACCCCAGTCTTATTCTGTCCATGCCAAGGGTGGGTTACTTCTCAAGGCTGAGGTGCCTCATTGAATTTCCTGGAGCCTAACTTGAGGTCAGACTGCCAGTGGATGTTCCACCAAAAGTAAAATTATGCAACCATTGCCAAATGGTTGCCACTGAGATTCATTTGGTGCCATAGAGCCCTGCAAGGAAGGAAGGGGGCCCCTTATAATTTCAGGGTTGGATATGGAGACAATGGCTGTAGGCCCTGATTGTGTGGATGCAAGGGCTTCTGCAAACCATGAATAAACGTGACGGCAATGCTACCCACACCTGCTCTTTCTTTTCTATTCCAGTGATACCTACATTGCTTGTGTTTCCTCTTTTTCTGCTTTTGTTTGTGGACAGGTTGTTCTGGATGGTAGTTCTGAACAACAACTAATTAACAGCTGTATATTGTATACAGGAAAATGCTGTATGTGTAGAGGAGAGGGGTCAAACTTGTGACCACTCAGATGTTAAGGATTTCAGCACACAGAAGCTCCAGCTAGCTTGTTCAATGGCCAGGAATTCTGGAAACTGAAGTCCAAAACTCCTGAGAGCCAAAAATTTGACATGATTGCTTTAGAAGTTAATGTATTAAAGAAGTTAATGCATTAATGTATTAAATTTTGCAAATTACTTCTCATTAGCAATGATTAAAATTGCTGAAAGCATACTAGAAAACGTGCAAATGTGAGTAGATCAATAGGTATCACTTCGGTGGGAAGGTAACAGCGCTCCATGCAGTCATGCCGGCCACATGCCTTTGGAGGTGTCTACAGACAGCGTCGGCTCTTTGGCTTAGAAATGGAGATGAGCACCACCCCCCAGAGTCAGACACGACTGGACTTAATGTCAAAAGGAAACCTTTACCTTTTTATACTTAATATCCAAAGTCACTTTGTGACTGAAATGTCACCATCTGCTACTCAAATCCGAGGTGTGATAATAATGCAAAATTAAACCAGGAGATTTAAAATTGGAGGGTTTTTTTTGGGGGGGGGGGGTAGATGAGCACCACGCCCCAGAGTCGGACACGACTGGACTTAATGTCATGGCAAACCTTTACCTTTTAAAATGTCTCTTGTGTGAACCTACCGTTTGAATCCAGTGTCAGGGCTGACACCATCCCTTTGCTTTCCAGGACTTGTACTGTGTGCGTAGTGACCTGGGGAATCTGCTCAAAGCCCTGGGTCGCTTGGAAGAAGCCAAGGTAGGTGTTCTGTAGAATGAGTTTTAAACCTCAGTCTTTTGAAAAGTGTGAACGCTTGCACCACGTCTCCAGTGCTCCTTTTGACCTGCAAGAGTCCCAAGAAAATGGCTGGAAGCCGAAGGCCCTGAGTTGCCTCAGGGTAGTTGCAGGGCACGATACATGGCTTGCCCGTATTAACGCTTGGCCTCAGACAAGAAATTGAACGTTGAGCCTTGCTGCAGGACTTAGACTTTTCTGTTCTGTGACGTGACTGGCAGGGGCACCACGATTCTCTGATCTGGAAATAAGCATTGCTTTCAAACTGAGGCTTGCCTGCTGTTGATGCCAGGCCAGTGACTTAGTCCGTGACTCCTGTGCGAAGCAGGTGCTCTTCTAAAGTCCTTTGTGGCTTGTAAGTGGAGAAGAACCTTATCGGATGTTATGCTGTAAATATGGCATTTGAAGAAAGGAAAAAATCTTACTATTCTTTAACCTTTCCCCCCCTATCTTTACAGTGGAAGAAAGGCTAGCAAACAGTGGTAGTTTCCGTTTGGTTCCTTAAAAATAATCTTTGTTGCCCAAATGACACACGGCTGGTTTGTTTGGAAAATGAACTGATCAAAGAAAAACGTGCTGTAACAGTAAGTGGAAAGGTGGCTTCTAGCAGTCTGGTTTCCAGCCAAGAATTTGAACACCGCGAGGGTTGTAAAACTCTTGGCGTTCACAAAACGTGGGGTTGCCAAACAAACGATCCCTGAAATGGTCTTGTTACAAGCCACCTTACGCATCCGCGCAGCCGGGGTGAAGAGTGTGGAGGAGCCAGAAGGGCCTCCGATGCCTTCGCTTCAAGCCCCACGCGCACGCTACCAAGTGGAGTGTGTCTGGAGTGTAGCTCTCTTGCTGGCTGCTGTGCTGCGATTGGGGGAGGAAGAAGGCGGCTCAATTAGTGACGGAGCAAATGGGGGCCAGCCTTCGAAGCGCAAATCGGGTACATAGCTTCATTCCTGGATCAGAAATTTTTCCTGGGGGAGTGCTGAAATGTCTTTTTGAAAAGACGGACATGATGCTCAGCTTGTCAGGTGGACAACTAACACGGATTGCACTCCACTGCCGCTTTTAGTGTGACTGGTGTATAGGCCAAGACACTGCGCCTGCCTTAGAGGTTGCTGACTTCTTTATTTCAGAGCTCTGGAGACACCTAGCTTGACAGTGTTACTCTGGTTTTTGTGAGAAGGAACTCCACTAAACAGAGGAAAAGAAAGAACGATATATTACATTGCAATGTATTTCTTTGGCTATCAGTGCATTTGTAAGCTCAAACCAGCTATGTTTTGCTATTTGAAGTGAAATTTAAATTTCTGCATAAGTTCCAGAGCCTTTCTTCCAACACGCCCTGCTGTTTGCAGTAGCCCTGATTAACCCTGTCCCTTCTGCATGTCTCCCATGTTACAGACACACCGCCCTCCACCCCATGTGTTAGACATGTCCAGAGATTTTCAATTGCTTTGTTGGAACTTTTTACTAATGATCTTGTTTTATTTTCTCTCTTGTTTTTGGTTTTTCACCATTGATATTGTATTTAGAAGGTTTCAGGTGGGTGAAACCTCCTTTTCCATGCGTAAGGTGCCTCGCTGAAGGGAGCTCGAGGCCTGGATCTAGGGCAGACACACTCCTCCTCCTCCTCTTCCAGCAAGGAACGCACCGAAAACTCTCATGAGAAATATGGTAACGGGTTTGTAACTGCCACAGCAAAACCATTTGCCTCCATGCCTGAATCTTCTGTCTTGTGGCTTCAGAAACAGCTTAAGTATTTAATGTACAAGCAAGTAATGTTAGAGAAACTATTAATTTTTTTTATAATCCTAGCCACAATTCTTTCAAAGAAATAAAAGTAAAAGTAAATTATATAAAAGCTGTAAAAGAAATAATTGGAAATACTTTGTAGTTAAAAAGCTTCTAACTCTTCCTGGTTGTTCATTTTTTTCCTTTTTTCTTCTTTGTTTGGATTGCAGCGTTCTGCTCTTCTGATGATGCGCTGTGATCCTGCAGTAGCGCAAAGGCTGCGCGGCGGAAATGCGCATTGCGTGCGAATGAGCCCTCGTGAATGGTGGGTGGGATGGGTTCTCTAACGGGCAGGCCCCTCCCCTCACAAAAAGCCCTGTGCAGTTGGATTTGTGCGAATAAGCATTGGCTTCTGTTGCACTCCTGATTCCACACCCAAATTGAAATGCTGCTTTTCTTCTCTCCCTGGGGCCTGCCTGGTAGATCAGTCCATTCGGCCGGCCCTTCACAGCCTCCCAGGGCATCCAACAAAGCGCAGCAGTTGGCAGCGATGGCACAGCAGCAGCGGCGGCGTGCTGTTAGGGTGCGCTGGCGACTTCTTGCGCTCGCATTACAGGGACCTGAACCTTCGTGCAAACCTGTCATTGGAGGTTTCAGGGGCTGGAGGAGTGTCAGGATGTGGGTCTTGAAATGGGATGGTTAAAGGATTCACCAGAATTTGAAATTAGTACATGTTTGTCTGTGGATCTTGGTTTTTTAAAGAATCTCTTACACTCAAATGAGAATGAGAAATCAACTGAAACCATGCCTGGTATTGTATCCTGTTTTTCTTAAGAAGTCTATACATACAGTGTACATAGTACCTGCAGTATGTTTTATACGTGGGCCATGGACCATCTTCACAGCTGCTAGGCTTCAGCCAAGTTGCTACTCAAACCATGGCAAAAGGTGAAGAATCACGTAGATAGAACAAGAAAACGGTTTCTCTTGGGCTTCTGATAGGGAGAAGGAGGATGAAGTCCTGAATAAATGCTAAGAGACTGGTCAGTGAATGGAATGGCATAACTGACAATGGTGGATTTGCACCTGGGTTTTGGTTTGCGCCGGCGCAGGATCAAGCAGCTGTTTACAGCATATTAGTTTTGGCGCAAGCAAGCCTATACTGCAGGATCACTTTTGACCGGTTGGAGAAGGCATGCTAACACCTTTTTTCTCTCCCTTCTCTTTTGTGCAAATACTCCCTTCCCTCTGTATCTACCTTATCTGTGACCCTTCCAAGGCCTGTTATTTGAAGGCAATTGAGACTCAGCCCAATTTTGCAGTAGCCTGGAGTAACCTTGGCTGCGTGTTCAATGCGCAAGGAGAAATCTGGCTCGCCATCCATCACTTTGAAAAGGTAACTGCTTCTCTCTATTGTGCTGAAAATAAACACGTCACAGTAATGCTGTATCTGCATAGGGCATTACTTGTGTACCTGAAGGCATGGGTTTGTAATGAGTGCAAAGGCAATGCTTAGAAACTGAGAGGAAGAATAAGACAGAGGATCTACTGTGTTTTCTTGAGTCAAATGTGTTGGGCAGGACAGCTTATTAACAAAAAATGCACAACAGAGTAACTTAGCAGCAGCGTGACCCAGCACCAGTAGCCCAAAATAATAAAAAGAACAAAAACATGCAGACCAATGTTAGATCTTCCTTATGAGGCTTTTCTTTATAGCAGAATAATATGGTTGCACTAATGTACAGGAACAAGGTTTCCATAACACACAGTTCTTTCTACTTCCTTCTGGCTGTTAGGAATTATGGGAGTTGTAGTCCAGAACACTTGGAGAACCAAAGTTTGTCCATGCCTGTTCTATAGCATAGATTCATGGAGGCAGGAAAACAGGAGACACTCCCTTGAAGAAAGAAGGGTTACTTCTGTCTCTGGTTTTCTTTTCAATTGCTGGAAGATTTTGTGTCCTAACACTTTGTTTTTAAAAAAGCAGTGATAAACACGCCAATTATTTCAGCCAAATTTCAAAGTTCACTTTCGCAACTGCACGTTACATTTGCCAGCAAATGTTTTTTAGTTTCAGAGTTTTGAAAATTGAGGTGTGCACTAGATTAGAGTAAATGTAGTACCTTAGCCTTTATTCTGTGTACTTTTTGGTACTCTTATTGTTTTCTCATATGGTTTGTATTCCTATTTCAGAGGCTTTTATGTAAAAACTAGCAGTTAATATGAGGCACCTAATAGAATATACAAAAGCAATGACATTTTTGTCGTTGATATTTCCAGGCTGTGACCCTTGATCCAAATTTCCTGGATGCTTATATTAATTTGGGAAATGTCTTGAAGGAGGCGCGCATATTTGACAGGCAAGTGAATAAAATCCTCTTTTGCTTCCTTTCCAATAATTTAACCATGCTTGCTGTGATTATACAGATGTTCTTCTGGGATCATGTACCGATTTCCTATTAGAAGTACCACTTATTTATGCAAACGGGGGCATGCCCTTCTGGGATATATTCCCTCCCTTTTCTTTGGCAGCCATGCCAGTTATCAGAGTATAACTCCTTCTGTTCAAATGTAATCATTGCCCAGAAGTCTATTAAATGGAGCTCTGTTTCCTGTTGTCCTTGACCGATGAGTAACATGACCCATTTGGCATCTCCTTTCAGGGCGGTTGCGGCCTACCTGCGGGCCCTGAGCCTGAGCCCAAACCATGCTGTGGTGCACGGCAACCTGGCCTGTGTGTACTATGAGCAGGGGCTGATTGACTTGGCCATCGACACCTACAAGCGAGCCATTGAGCTGCAACCACATTTTCCTGATGCCTACTGCAACTTGGCCAATGCCCTCAAGGAGAAAGGCAGTGTAAGGAACCATTCCTGTGTCCATACCTTGGTTTCTGCTTTTCTGAATCCATTGATGCCAGGAATTGGCTTTCTTTATCAGACACTGACACCCAGAATACGTGCCATTACAGGGTGGGCTTTTGTTTGTGAGTGGTATTTCTTACTCATATTAGAATAAACTGTTCTTTGTGTCAAAAGGTCGCTGAGGCAGAGGAGTGTTACAACACGGCACTCCGCCTCTGTCCCACTCACGCAGATTCCCTCAACAACCTTGCCAACATCAAGCGGGAACAAGGCAACATTGAGGAGGCTGTTCGACTCTATCGCAAAGCTCTGGAGGTAGGCTTCTGAGTGGTTGGATATGTACACTCTTGGATAAGAAGGGCTGAGATTGGTTTTTTTTTAATGACACTATAGAATAAATATTATTTAAACTCGCTTAGGTACCTGGCAAGGCCTGAGATTATTTGTAATGCTATCAACTCCCATTATCCCAGGCCATGTTAGTCTGTGTGTTAAGTGTGGTTGAGATCCATCGTCAGTTGAGTGCACAGTGCTCTGGATGTGGGTAAAACTCACTTTACTGAGGATCAATTCCCCCCAAACCCTTCCAGTTTTTTTTAAAACAATGTTTTTTGAAATTTGCTTTATACAGTATAATTAAAAAGAAAGGTAGGATCAGGAAGATGAATGGGGTTAAGAGGTTGGAAAAATGGGGAAGGGAAAAACGGAGGGGAAAGTTTATAGACTTCCAATCTTCTTTATCATGGTTTAGTTATTGTCCTCGGTCTCTTTTTTCTTTTTGTAGTATGATTCTCCTTTTCGCTCCTCTTTCTTGTGGGACAATTGTTCTTTATCTCTTGGATTGGACTATATTATCGTTCTCCTTTTCTCTTGGATCGTATATTCTTTGAAGGGCTGCCAATCCATTGTTTTCTTAGATCAGGGGTCCTCAAACTTTTTGAACAGAGGGCCAGGTCACAGTCCCTCAAACTGTTGGAGGGCCGGATTATAATTTGAAGGGAAAAAAAAAAAAGAATGAATCCCAGTGCACACTGTACATATCTTATTTATAGTGCAAAAACCACTTAAAAACACTACAATAATTAAAATGAAGAGCAATTTTAACACATATAAATTTATTAATATTTAATGGGAAGTGTGGGCCTGTTTTTGGCTGATGAGATAGGATTGTTGTTGTTGTTGTTGTTGTTGTGTGCTTTCAAGTCATTACAGACTTAGATTGACCCAGAGCGAGGGCTGGGTAAATGACTTTGGAGGGCCGCATCCGGCCCCCGGGCCTTAGTTTGAGGACCCCTGTCTTAGATCTTCCTTGGTACTTTGTTAATAATGGGATTAATTTGTCCATATTCATAATTTTCATTATTTTTTATTAACCATTGATCTGTTGAGGTTATTTCTTTCAGTCTCCAGCTTCTTGCATATACTATTCTTGCTGACAATCCTAAATAAATAAAAAGTATGTCTCTGTCCATGTCTGTATCTGTTATTCCCAATAAACAAATATTCCAGCTTCAAGGTTTTTTTTGTATTAAGTATTTTCTGGGATATTTATTGATTTTTTTTTCAAGTAATCCTTTGCTTTTCTACATGTCCACCACATATGGTAGAAAGAGCCCTCCTGGGTTTCACATTTCCAACACTTATTTTGCATATTTTTCTCATTTTTTCTCATTTTTGTGGAGTTATATACCATTGCTACATCATTTTGTACCAATTCTCTTTCAGATCATATCTGTAAGTATATTTCAATTTGTAATTCCATATATGTTGCCATTCCTCCAACTTTATTGGATGACCTACATTGGCTGCCCATTTAAACGTGCATTCTTTCACTTGCTGAGTTTCTGTAATCTGTTCTAACAGTTTCTTATAGATTATTGTAATTTTTTTCTTTTCCATTACTATTCTATTGTTTTCTGATGTTGTCTATTTTACTATGTTGATATTTTGACTGTTGATTGGGCTTGCCCCCATGTAAGCCGCCATGAGTCCCTTCAGGGAAATGGAGGTGGGGTATAAAATATAGTAGTTGTTATTGTTATTAGTATTATTATTTTGTCCCAGAAGGTTTCTTTCTCAACAAAACCTGTTGTTTTATCCTTACGGTAATGTTATTTTAAGTGCCTATATTGAAACCAAGAGATATTCTTGTAGGTTTGATTGATCTCTTCCTGTGTTTTCATCACATAAGCTCCATTTTGTTTCTTCAATATTTCTCGATACGTGGGCCATTTCTCCCACACTAGTAATCTTCTTTGTCCCACCACTAATGGTGAAATCCATAATGGGGTTCCAGTATTTTAAGTTGGTCATGGCAGGTCTGTGTGCCATGTTTAGTCAGGATCTATTGTGAGTGGGAATCAGTGTCTTCTGGATGTGGGAGCCATCTTGGAAAATGCTTACAAATGATAGATAAACAGAAAAATATTCTCTCTTATTATAGATATAAATATATAACTAGAGAGAAGTTATATATAGCTAGAGATTTCCTGATTTAAAATCAGATGCACCTTTGATGCTTTGCGGTATGACAGTCTCTATGTAATGAAATGACCTTGAAGTAAGCGTGGCTTGTTTCCTGTAGGTTTTCCCAGAGTTTGCAGCTGCCCACTCCAACTTGGCCAGTGTTCTGCAGCAGCAAGGGAAGCTGCAGGAGGCCCTCATGCATTACAAGGAGGCAATTAGGTAAGGTTTTAACCAGTTTGTAGCTGCATGTTAAACAGTTCTGAAGGTGGAATTGACAGATGATGGGTTTCCATGCTTATTTGGTGTGTTGATTTGCTTGGCTTTCGAGAAGGGCATTGTGTTGATAATGCCTTGACGTCCTTCTTGTATCCCTTCAATCCAGAATCAGCCCCACATTTGCTGATGCCTACTCCAATATGGGAAACACCTTGAAGGAGATGCAGGATGTTCAGGGAGCTTTGCAGTGTTACACCCGGGCCATCCAGATCAACCCGGCCTTTGCTGATGCACACAGCAATCTCGCCTCCATCCATAAGGTAATGCTTGTGTCTGGGACTTGCCGCATGATGAAAGAAGAAGCATTCTGCTTGCCTTTGATTAATGATCTCTCTTTTTCCAGGATTCGGGTAACATCCCAGAAGCCATTGCATCCTATCGCACTGCACTGAAGCTGAAGCCAGACTTCCCTGATGCCTATTGCAACTTGGCCCACTGCTTGCAGGTGAGGTGGGCTCTGGCCTATTTGGGGATTGACTGTGGTTTATGGACATCCTTCTCCCACATAGTTGCTGGAATCGTGAGATAGGGCCTTCTCAGTGGCCGCCCCAGACTGTGGGCCTCCTTTCTGTTCAGAAGGGTTTTAAAAGGGCACTGTATTGTTCCTTTTAGAATATTTATAACTTCTTAGATTTTAAGTGTATTTATTGTGATTAATTCCATTTTGAAGCTTATTTCCTGTGTTTTTTAGTTGCATCCTGGTTGTAAATAGGAATTGCCTTGAGTTCCACATTTATAACAACAATAATAATACTTTTGTGGTGGAAATATGATAAAAATAACGGAATCTGAGCAGTCCCTTCTGTGTGGGGGAGGGGGATATATGGTCCTAAAAATCTCCCATGTTCTGCCCACATATGCTCTTACCTATTTGCTCCTAGAACAGTGGTTCTCAACCTTCCTAACACTGCGACCCCTTAATACAGTTCCTCATGTTGTGGTGACCCCCAACCATAAAATTATTTTTGTTGCTACTTCATAACTGGAATTTTGCTAATGTTAGGAATCATCATGTAAATATCTGATATGCAGGATGCATTCTCATTCATTGGACCAAACTTGGCACAAATACCTGATATGCCCAAATTTGAATACTGGAGGGGATTGATTTTGTCATTTGGGAGTTGTAGTTGCTGAGATTTATAGTTCACCTACAATCAAAGAGCATTCTGAACTCCACCAACGATGGAATTGAATCAAACTTGGCACAACGGACGACGGACGGAAAATACTGGAAGAGTTTGGTGGGCATGACCTTGAGTATGGGAGTTGTAGTTCACCTACATCCAGAGAGCACTGTGGACTCAAACAATGATGGATCTGGACCAAACTTGGCACAAATCAATATGCCCAAATGTGAACACTGGTGGAGTTTGGGGAAAATAGACCTTGATATTTGGGAGTTGTAGTTGCTGGGATTTATAGTTCACCTACAATTGAAGAGCATTCTGAACCCCACCAACGATAGAATTGGGCCAAACTTCCCACAGAACCCCATGACCAACAGAAAATACTTTGGGGACCCCTATGACACCTCCTCGTGACACCCCCCCCCCCCGGGGTCCTGACCCCCAGGTTGAGAAACACTGTCCCAGAAGCCTCCATATCCTGCCCATATATGCTTCTAGAAACGTCCTCTCATATATTGCCCAACTTCAAGGATTGCTCTGGTGTTTCCCCCTTTTTCAGATAGTTTGCGATTGGACTGATTATGACGAAAGGATGAAGAAGCTGGTCAGCATTGTGGCTGACCAGCTGGAGAAGAACCGGCTGCCCTCGGTCCATCCCCATCACAGCATGCTGTACCCCTTGTCCCATGGCTTCCGCAAGGCCATTGCTGAGAGGCATGGCAACCTGTGCTTGGACAAGGTAAGAAGCCACCTCACCCTTGGCAAGATCCGCAACAGGGATAGTGTTGAGGACAAGAAGGGTGTGCTTTAGCGGTTTTGAGAACAACCAAATGCCTCCCTTGCCAGATCAACGTGTTGCACAAGCCTCCTTATGAACACCCCAAGGACCTGAAGGCCAGCGAAGGGCGGCTCCGTGTGGGATATGTCAGCTCCGACTTCGGAAACCACCCCACCTCCCACCTGATGCAGTCAATCCCCGGCATGCACAACCCGGACAAGTTTGAGGTGAGGCACATCCGATGAGTAGGATATCCAGATCCATATGTCAAAAATGCAGGGTGTGAATATTCTGCCTAGAACAATTTCAGATTGTAACCATAGTTCCATATGTTTATGGCTTATTTTTGTGCGACGAAGCTGCAAAGGAGGCAGATCCAAAAGATGCTACAAAAAGCCAGTCGTCTTTGCTGTTTGGGAAGCTGCAGTTTTTTCTCTGCCCTCGTTGGGCTCAAAGCCAAATTGATGCAGAATTTTCCTGATCTGTAGATGCAGTCAATCAATCAATCAATCAATCAGATCATTTATTTCGGTCATAGACCAGCACAGCAATCCATACTTAAGCCTGCTTTATCAATTTTTAAAATCTTGCTATTTAATATTTAAATTTGGCTTTAAATTTGCACTGCTGGGTTGCTGTGAGTTTTCCAGGTTGTATGGCCATGTTCCAGAAGCATTCTTTCCTGACGTTTCGCCCATATCTATGGCAGGCATCCTCAGAAGTTGTGAGGTCTATTGGAAATTAAGCAAGTGAAATTTTATTTATCTGGAATATCCAGGGTGGGAGAAAGATCTCTTGTCTGCTTGAGGCAAATGTGAATGTTGCAAATGGCCACCATGATTAGCATTTAATGGCCTTGTAACTTCAAAGCCTGGCTGCCTCCTGCTTGGAGGAATCCTTTGTTAGAAGGTATTAACTGGCCCTGATTGATTCTTGTCTGGAATTCCCCTGCTTTTGAGTGTTGCTCTTTATTTACTGTCTATTTTAAAGTTTTTTTAAATACTGGTAGCCAGATTTTGTTCATTTTCATGGTTTCCTCCTTTCTGTTGAAATTGTCCACATGCTTGTGGATTTCAATGTGTAGTCTAGCCTGGTAGTTGTTAGAGTGATTCCGGTCATGAAAGCCTTTGAAAACACATTTGCACTGCTGTTGGAACTCCTGTACTGCAGTAAACAAGGTGCATCTATACTGTGGAATTAATGCAGATTTGACATGACTTGAACTGTTATAGTTCAATGCAATGGGACTCTGGGATTTGTAACTTTGCAAGGTCTTTAGCCTTCTCTGCCAGAGTGCTTGGGCCTCACTAGACTACAGTGCCCATCGTCCAGAACCAACACTCTTTGGCTAATGTTTTTGTAAAACCACAAATCCCAGAGTCCCATCGCATTGAACCATGACAGTTCAAGTGGTTCCAAACTGCATTAATGATACATTGTGGATGCTCTTCAAGAAGTGTAGTACTTGGACTCCTCCATTGCAATAAGCAAGAGATCACGTGCTCCTTGCTTAACCTTCCTGGAAACATTCTGTTCTCTTGAGGAGGGAATATTTGTTTTTTTAAATGCTTAATAAGTACTTGCTTTTTTCCTTAATTCCCAGCTGTTCCCCCAAAGTTCTTGCTTAAGGGTCATGGTTTCTGTGTGGCTTCTTTAGGTGTTCTGCTATGCCCTTAGCCCCGACGATGGGACCAACTTCCGGGTGAAAGTGATGGCGGAAGCAAAACACTTTGTTGATTTATCTCAGGTAACAAGTGATCTTTTCCCTAAAAACCCTCTGCTCTTTCCTGGGAGAAAAGTGAGAACTTAATCATATGTTTGAATATAGCAAGTTGATTAGGAAGCAGGGAAAACCTGCCAACAGGGTCACAGCAAAAGGAAGGGTCATAAAATGCTTTGAAATGTGTATTAGTTTTATGGAGATAATGTGCCTAAATAAAAAAAAATGAGCTCAGATTTGCTCCATTGTATTCATTTTGCTCACAACATCTTTTGATATATTCAAATTTTCTGTGGAATTAGTATTGAGATTTGAGGAAAGGCCTGGATGTTGTGGAAATGCAGCTCCGGTGTCTAAAATGAGAGATGCCAGGGCTTGGGCTGGAGCTGGTTGAAAGGTTTCTCAGCGGTGCCTCCCATTTCCTGTGCTGTAGGTCCCGTGTAATGGAAAAGCCGCTGACCGCATCCACCAGGACGGCATCCACATCCTCGTCAACATGAATGGCTACACCAAAGGGGCCCGGAACGAGCTCTTTGCCCTCAGGCCTGCCCCAATCCAGGTAAAGGCAGCCACTCATGCTCTGGGAACATACAGTTAGAGCAGCGTTTATCAACCTGGGGGGCGGTAGGGACCCCTGAGGGGGGTTTCAGCAGGGTTGCCAAAGACCATCAGAAACCTAAACCTCACCAACTAAATACAACTATGTCTAGGACAATTAACCTAACATAAAACCACACAAATATGCATATTCTTGAACATAATTAATCTTCCCTTGGCTTGAATCCTATTGCTAGTCCTCATTGGAGTCTAGCAGCTGAATCAGCCAGATATATCTCTGTGTTGATTCATTATTGAGCAGTTGTTCATTGGATCTCCAGCTCTGATGCAACTATCATGTTTACCTGTTGTTATTTCACTGTCCGTCTCCCATCATAAGATCCATAGGACCTTAGAGTGCCCTATTTATATAGCTGTGGTTGGATTTAGCTGTCACTCTTTTAAGATGGCGTCTTTGCCTGTTTATTTGTCTGCTTCAGGCGATGTGGCTGGGCTACCCAGGGACCAGCGGGGCTTTATTCATGGACTACATCATCACAGACAAAGAAACCTCCCCATTTGACGTGGCTGAGCAGTATTCTGAAAAGCTCGCTTATATGCCAAATACGTTCTTCATCGGAGATCATGCCAACATGTTCCCGCACCTGAAGGTATTTATTTGGTCGGCTGCAGAAATTGCTTGCTTTCTGTCCCTCTGTTTCTTCTGTTCGTGTTTCCAAAACATAGAATCATAGTGTTGCAAGAGACCTCATGGGCTATCCAAGTTCAACCACATTCTGCTAAGAAACAGGAAAATTGCATTCAAAGCACCCCCGACAGATGGCCATCCAGCCTCTGTTTAAAACTTCCAAAGAAGGAGCCTTCACCACACTTGGGGCAGAGAGTTCCACTGCTTTTTTTTTTTGTCGTGTCAGGAGTCTGAGAAACTGCAAGTCGCTTCTGGTGTGAGAGAATTGGCCGTCTGCAAGGACGTTGCCCAGGGGACGCCTGGATGATTTGATGTTTTTTTTATCATCCTTGTGGGAGGCTTCTCTCATGTCCCCGCATGAGGAGCTGGAGCTGATAGAGGGAGCTCATCCGCCTCTCCCCAGATTCGAACCTGAGACCTGCTGGTCTTCGGTCCTGCCGGCAAATCAATATAAAGCCTCCACCACAGAGAGTTCCACTGCTGAACGGCTCTCACAGTCAGGAAGTTCTTCCTAATGTTCAGATGGAATCTCCTCTTGTAGTTTGAAGCCATTGTTCTGCGTCCTAGTCTCCAGGGAAGCAGAAAACAAGCTTGCTCCCTCCTCCCTGTGGCTTCCTCTCACATATTTATACATGGCTATCATATCTCCTCTCAGCCTTCTCTTCTTCAGGCTAAACATGCCCAGCTCTTTAAGCCGCTCCTCATAGGGCTTGTTCTCCAGACCCTTGATCATTTTAGTCACCCTCCTCTGGACACATTCCAGCTTGTCAATATCTCTTTCGGATGGTGCCCATGTTTTCTCCCTTTTAGAAAAAAGCTGTGATTGACTTCAAATCCAATGGGCATATTTATGACAACAGGATCGTTTTAAATGGCATCGACCTGAAGGCATTTCTCGACAGCTTACCTGATGTGAAAATCGTAAAGGTGAGGCACTTTCAAGTCAGCTGGATCCATTTTCTGGTGGGACGCTTTAGGGCCAACCTCAGTAAGAAAAGGGGGGCGAGGTGTTAATTTGGGAACACCTTCCTTCCACCTTTCCTGCAGATGAAGTGTCCCGATGGAGGAGACAACGCAGACAGCAATGCCGGCCTGAGCATGCCTGTCATCCCCATGAACACCATTGCGGAGGCTGTGATCGACATGATAAACCGGGGGCAGATCCAGATCACGATCAACGGGTTCAACATCAGCAATGGGCTGGCCACCACTCAGGTGAGGGGCATGGAGACTGAGGGAGGGCGGGCGAGAGGGAGGCCTTTGGAAGAGGCAGTGGGACTGAACTCGCCACCAGTGGCACTCTGCTTCCCTCATGAAACAAAATGCAGAAGTCGGGGATGGGATGCCTAGCTCAGCAGAACATGTAGTAAAAAGAACCTTGGGATCATTGCTGGTCATAAGTTGGAACATGAGTCAGCAGTGTGACACCACGGCAAAGAAACTAAATACCATTTTAGCACACATTAAGAATGGCACAGTTTCCAAGTTGGTGGGCGTAATGATCCCTCTATATTCTGGGCTGACGAGGCATAATGTGTTCAGTTCTTGTTGCCTCATTTTAAGAGGCAACAAGAGAGGTTGGAGTGAGTTCAAAGGTGGGCAATGAGAATGGCAAAATATATAGAAAACAAAACATATGAAGAAAGATTGGAGGGTATGCTGTAAGTTTTCTGGGCTACATGGCCTTGTTCCAGAAGCATTCTCTCCTGACGTTTCACCCACATCTATGGAATGTATCCTCAGAGGTTGAGGTGTATGTTGGAAACTAGGCAAGTGAGATTTATATATCTGTGGAATGCCCACAGTGGGGGAAAGAAGTTTTGTCTGTTTGAGGCAGGTGTGAATGTTGCAGTTGGCCAGCTTGGTTAGCATTGAATGGCTTTGCAGCTTCAAAGACTGGCTGCTTCCTGCCTGAGGGAATCCTTTGTTGGGAGTTGTTAGCTGGCCCTGATTGTTTCCTGTCTGGAATTCCCCTGCTTTTTGAGTGTTGCTCCTTATTTGCTGTCCTGATTTTATAGGTTTTTTTAAATATTGGTATCCAGATTGTTCATTTACATGGTTTCCTCCATTCTGTTGAAATTGTCCATATGCTTCTTGTGGATTTCAATGGCTTCTCTGTGTAGTCTGACATGGTGGTTGTTAGAGTGGTCCAGCATTTCTGTGTTCTCAAATAATATGCTGTGTCCAGACTGGTTCATCAGGTGCTCTGCTATGGCTGACTTCTCTGGTTGAAGTAGTCTGCAGTGCCTTTCATGTTCCTGTGCTGATTTTAGAGTTTTTAATACTGGTAACCAGATTTTGTTCATTTTTTTAAAATGAGATAAAGCGGGATAATAATACTATGTAACAAAATTTGAAAAGTTTTCTGCTCCTGGTTTGAAAGTGTTATTTTCCGTTTAATTTTGCAGTACTTACTCCAGCAACAACATTTTTGTGGCTGCCACAAACCAGGTTGAATAGGTTGAGACTCTATGAGATATTCAATGACAAACTATAGCAAAATGTGCTGCAGTATGCTCTTCCCACAAAGACAAAGTTTGGGCAGTTTAATACACTTTTTCCATGTTTTTTAGAATCTATTAGGAAATGACATTTATTACCCAGGAACAAAAATCGTGTTACATAATGTAATGGGGACAAGAAAGGTAATAATTGGGACCATCATGATGTTGCTTGTAGCCATCCTGAACCCTTTAGCCTCCCCTTTTCCTTAGATTAACAACAAGGCTGCCACCGGGGAGGAGGTTCCACGCACCATCATCGTCACCACCCGCTCCCAGTATGGCCTGCCGGAGGACGCAGTCGTCTATTGCAATTTCAACCAGCTTTATAAGATTGACCCAGCCACTCTGCAGATGTGGGCCAACGTGAGTAGACCTGCCTTGGCCCTTTCAAAGGCTTCTATCCTTAAAGTTAATGGAGGGAGGTGCTGGGACCACTCACATTTGGTTCTGTGGCCCATTGGAGCTCATCCCATCACTCGCTTTCTTTGCAGATCTTGAAGCGTGTCCCCAACAGCGTCCTGTGGCTCCTGCGCTTCCCGGCCGTGGGGGAGCCCAACATCCAGCAGTACGCCCAGAACATGGGCCTGCCCCAGAGCCGCATCATCTTCTCCCCAGTGGCCCCCAAAGAGGAGCA